TCCACTAGATGAATCAATGTCCGTGAGCCAATCACCGACAATGTAAGCCTTTCCACTCTTCTTCTTCTTGTGGAAGTCCCTCTTCTTGCCATCTCTCTTCTTGTATGGCTTCTTCTTCTTCTTCTTATCTTCTTCTTCATTGCTTGAGTCATCTTTCTTGCCCTTATACTTGTTCTTGTACTTGTCTTTCTTGGGCTTTGTGCATTGATATGCTAGATGACCAAGCTCTCTACAATTGAAGCAATCCATTTCGGAGATTGGCTTCCTTCTTGAGCTAGTGAAGAACTTCTTCTTCTTGCCATCAAACTTGATGTCATTCTTGTTTAACTTCTTTAGCATCTTGGCGGTCTTCTTTACCATGAGGGCAAGACTTTCATCATCATCTTCCTCATCACTTGAGCTCTCATACTCAAGTCTTTCTTTGCCCTTCTCTTGGCTAGCTTTGAATGCTAATTCTTTTTCTTTTTTCTTTGTAGAGGATGAGCCATCTTGAGGTGTGATGTGCATGTACATCTCATGAGCATTGATCTTTCCCAAGATTTGTGTCAGTGTAGCGGTGGAAAGATCACCTTGGTGTAGCACGAACACAATATGCCCATATTTGTCAATGGGGAGGACACTCAAGATCTTTCTCACAACGTCAGATGGTGACATTTGAGTAAGTCCAAGCCCATTGACTTCCTCTACAAGAACATTCAAACGTGAATACATCTCATTAGCACATTCTTTGGGAAGCATCTCAAATGAATTTAGCTTTTTAATAACAAGATGATAGCGTTCCTCATGCTCACTCTTAGTTCCCTCATGGAGCGCACAAACGTCCGACCATAGTGCATGTGCGTCTTTGTGGTTCCTTACGCGGTTGAACACATCTTTGCAAAGGCCTCTAAAGATGGTGTTGCGAGCCTTTGCATTCCATTTTTCATAATTCACTTCATCGCCTTGTAAGTGAGTAGCATCCCGAGGTTTTGGGATGCCTTGTGAGGCGGCTCTAAGTATACCAACGTCTAGAGCTTCTAAGTACGCCTCGATGCGAATTTTCCAATATGGAAAGTCATCTCCCTCAAAGATAGGAGGAGGTCCATCCCCGTGAGACATCTTGCTCTAAGCGGTTAAGCTTAAAAACGTGAGCACGAGGCTCTGATACCAATTAAAAGGATCAAGATGCCCAAGAGGGGGGTGAATTGGGCTAATTCTAAATTTTCTTGCAATAATTAAATCCTAAGGTTAGCCCAATTAACCCCTTGTGCCTAAGAATGTGTTTCTATTAGTATAACGCACAAAAGGACTTGCAACCTATATTCCCAATTTACTCTAGCATGGCAATTCTAAGAATTGTAAAGACAAGTATGAATTGCTCAAAGTAAATGCTCAAAGTAAATAGAGAGAGAGAGGAACGCGGCGATGTTTTGCCGAGGTATCGGAGAGTCGCCACTCCCCACTGGTCCTCGTTGGAGCACCCGCGTAAGGGTGTAGCTCCCCCTTGATTCGCGCAAGCATCAAGTGCTCTCTACGGGTTGATTCTTCGACACTCCGTCGCGGCGAATCACCCACAACCGCTCACAACTTGAGTTGGGTCACCCACAAGCTCCGCCGGGTGATCACCAAGCTCTCAATCACCACCAAGCCGTCTAGGTGATGGCGATCACCAAGAGTAACAAGCACGAACTCTCACTTGACCACGCTAAGCCTAATGAGAAGATGTATGCACACTTTGCTACTCTTGATTCACTAATGAGGTTTCACTCTTAGATTCTCAAATCACAAACACCTCACTAGGACCTTGCTCTTCATGGCACTCACAAACATGTTTCTCAGCTATTGGAATGAGCAAAAATATCCCCTCACACGAAGTGATCAAGTATTTATAACAGCGGCTGAAAAATAAACCGTTATGTGCCTCTGCGGGGTGACCGGACGCTCCGGTCAGTTCAACCTGCACACCAGTGTTTAAGTGATGATCGGACGCAGGCAGGGTCCGGTCAGCACTGACCGGACGCGTCCGGTCGCATTAAACCCTCACTAGAACCTTACTGTACTCGACCGGACGCTGAACCCCTAGGGTCCGGTCAGTACTGACCGGACGCGTCCGATCGCTAATTTTCATCTTTGGAACCTTACTAGAGTCGACCGGACGCTGGCCCTTAGCGTCCGGTCACTTGACCTCTCTAGCGTCCGGTCAAACCAGACGAGTTCACCTCAGTCAAATGAACTGACCGGACCCTGCGGCCAGCGTCCGGTCAGTATTTGACCCTCCATTCACTTCCAACTCTCGATCATACGTGAATGAAGTTTGCTCCATTGGATCAAAGGGCTTTGTAGGAGCTACCTAGAGCTAGACTTAGGAAGTGTGCACCACACCTAACTCAATAGACTCACCTAGGTCAAGCTACCCGTCCATACCCCCCTTAATAGTACGGTCAAAGGAAAAATAAAGTCCTAAACTACTCTAAGTGTCTCTCCAACTCCAATCGACACTTAGAACTAGTCATCCTTAACCTTGTCGTCCATCCTTTGAAAACCGAAACGATTTCCACCGTAGGGGCATGACATCCATGATTGCCCAATTGATCTCCATTACCATGACCTAACTTAATTGCCTCTGCAAAACACACGTTAGTCACAGTAATCTTGTATTGTCATTAATCACTGAAACCCAATTAGGGGCCTAGATGCTTTCATGTCAGACACTCCAAAAGAAAGAGCATTGATATCTTAAATGCGGTGGCTTCTGTCTCTACCAAAAAAGTGTTGCTTGGTGAGTTACGAAATAATGACCAGGAACCTCTTCTTGAGGAGGTCAAATTGTTTTGTGGAAAGCACGGGATTAATATTCCGGATCTGAGTAAGAAATATGTTTTTCTCCAAATTATTTATTCTTTTGTAAAATTGTACTTGTTCATCAATCAATCCATATCTTTCCATTTGTAGGTATGTTGATGTGACTAAATCTCGAAACAAGAATGACAACACCACAGCCTTTCACTATTACAAAGTGGATGTGTTTAATGTTGCAATTGATCAACAACTAGCAGAGTTAGAAGATCGATTCAGTTCTCAAGTGACAGAGCTTTTGTCCCTTTGTGCTTCTTTGGATCCTATGCTGGACACATTCAACATAGACAATATATGCACTCTGGTGGAAAAAATATTATCCTGCTGATTTCTCAAGTCAATAAAGAGCTCAATTGGGGTGTCAGCTGCCACATTTTCAAATTGATGTATGCAACAGTCCAGAACTAAAGGAATTATCAACACTTGCTGCTCTAACAAGTGGACTATTTAAAACATGAAAATATTCGTCTTATCCTATGGTGACAGGTTATTAAGATTAGTATTAACTCTTCCAGTATCAACTGCAACCACCGAAAGATGCTTTTCAGCTATGAAACTTGCGAAGACACGTCTCAGATGTACAATGGGAGATGGATTTCTGCGAGATTGTTTGGTAATTTATATTGACAAGGAATTGGCTGCATCAATCAGTACCGATGATATTATTACAGCGTACGATCTTGCTACTAGTCGAAGAGCTAAATTTAAGTTAACAGATATGTAATTTTATTTTGGTTATGACTCGTGAAACATGCTATGATTATATCATTATATGTGACTAAAACCAGCTCAGGAGGCTATCAGTTCTACGTCGCTCTGTCCATTGCCCCCCCCCCCGCGTCAAATCCTGCCTCCGCCCCTGAATGTAGACGAGGGTTTAATTAGTACATTCACACCAGCCGGCGTATTATAATAATAACAGCTCGTTTAACAGTTGAAGTGGACGGACAAAGTGACAAACGTAGTTGGTTCCAAGTTGAAAATTATTGACTTGACTTGGTACAAGTGCAGGTAGTGATGACACGACAACTTGCAAGTTGTTGCCACCATTTAATTAGGTTCACATCACATGGAGATGGAGCCGTTCGAATACATAATTGCAGACCAACTGATAATACTCTGTCTACTTATCCTGTCAGTGGACGTATTGCACCTCTACAGCTCTTCATCTACTGCTATTGTTCCGCTGACAGAGCAACTCACCAATTGACATAGTAAACACCGTTGTCATGTGTGGCGGCGCCATAGACAGCATCTCAAGTTCTCCTTTCCCACTCGAAATAGACATGTGCCCTCATGCATTGGTCTGTATATTATTACACTCTGACTGTACATGGATTCCAATAGTACACGACATGTAGGTTGTACAGATCCAGGTGTGATCGGTCATGGATCTTGTAGATTAGCGGGCGTGCGGTAGCATCCTAGCAAGCAGTTATGCTAAATTGGTGGCCAACGAAACAAGAAAAACTTTTATTCCTGCAGTACACACTTGGAACAAATAACAATGCATCCGAACAATTAACATGCCTCCCACCTTCCATTTTTTGCATTAGAAACGGATCCATATCATTCTGGCAAGCTGAAAGTTCATGACAAAAACAAACTACAGTGTTGATGCTTTTATGCTACACCGTAATGGGCTCACTGTTAACGGTCCGTCAACCACCATTAAACTTAAGCAGCAAACTTACCAACAATACCAAATGCACATACAATATTATATTTAGATGAAAATTGGCGACTAATAAGAACAATAAAACCATCTAAAGAACATTACAAAAGGAACAAAGAGAAAATTCAGGATTCAGTTGGTATTATCGTTACACAAAATTACATAACGATTACAACACCAACATAAAAGTCAAATCCATAAACATGCACACAAACAAGAGAGCATTCTTTATGAAGATACATAAACTCAAAGCTCAACGTTTCGAGTACAGAGTAAATAAACTGAACTGAATATGTCTTCTCCTAGCGATGTTACACATAGGATAAGTGCCAATTATCTTGATCTTGACACCTTGAAGGAAGCAGATGTTTCAGTTTCCACTGGCATGAAGGATGTATTGCAATACTGGATCAATTGGCAGGGAAAACAAAGAAAAATAAGTGAACAGAGTTCTGCAGATGCCTGGGACGACACATTGATCACTGTGAGCTCAGCATCCTTCCAGTTCCTCCAGCTTCAAAGGAGGATTCCTTGGATGCTCCTCCAGTTGCTTCTCAATGTCATCCTTGAGTGCAGTGTCATGGGAACCGATAAGCCGGGCTTCCTTGAGTTTTTGTTTAGATAGATTCTTTATCTCCATAAACTTCAATGTTGACCCACTACAGCAGCGAGCTGTCAGCAGCTCAAGATTTTGCATTGCTTCTGATCCAAAGGATACATTTAACTTTGAGCTGCAAGTAATCTCGAGGATCTTGAGGTTTAAATAGCAGCGCTGCTGTATTCCATTCACCCAGACACAAAAATCAAGCTTGCCATCAGCACCATGATGTGGCTTGACACAAAGACGTAGAATACATAATTCTTTTATTTCCCCAAGAACATTAATTACTTCAACTTCTTCTGACATGGTTATCTCCAGTTCCAGCTTTGTGAGTTTGGGAAGATCTTTGATCCATGATGGCACTTGTTTTACAAGACCACATAGCTTAAGGCTCTGAAGGTTCCCTAGAGGTTTCCCCTGAGTCTTCTGGTGAGGCTTCTCCTGGGGCTTATGCTGAGGCCTTTGCTGAGTCTTCCCCAGACCCTTCCCCTGGGGCTGCTGCTGAATTTTCTCTAGAGGCTTCTCCAGATGCAAGGAAATGTCATCCAAACATTCTTCATTGCCCTTGCTGAGCCACACTGACAAGGATTCCAGACGGACATGGCATGCGATGGCAGCACAGAATTCCATGCAGTTTTTCTTGTTGACACCAAACACTCCAAGCTTGCGCAATTGGGTAATCTTCTTGAGCTCTTTGAGGGAGTCTTTGCCCCCTGCAAGACCAGCATTGACAACACCAAGCGTGTGCAAAGCAGTCAGCTTGTCAATACCTACTGGCACCTCAACACCAACTAATTGATGAGATCTGCATGGTGTTGATGGTTCCCCTGCTGGGAAAGTTGTGCCAGCACGGATGTACTGCAGTTTCTTTTTACTTGGTGATAGATGCTGGCAAGGTAACTATGGAGGTATGCCTGACATCCAGAGTCTCAAGCTGCCGTAACTCACCCAATGTACGAGCTCTCGGCAGATGGCGGATCCCACTGCTTCCTCGCAGAGATAGAAACTTGAGGCGAGGAAGAAGCTTCACCATTAGCTTGAGGTCTTTATCTGTCACACCTGTTGCATTCTCCAGATCGAGCACTCGAAGCACCTTCATACTATTAGAGATGAAGAATGATTCCCACTCCCCAAACACTGTTAATGACCGTAGACGTGAAAAATCAATGCTTTCAAACACAATCCTGTCTCTGTCCCAGCTGCTCTCTATTACAAGGTGGCGTCCTGTGCGCTGGGTGGTTGGAAGGCAACGCCCCTTCAGTGCAAAGACCTCCAGTGCAAATATAATATTCTCTTCGTCTGGACGTGAGATGATGTATTCGTGGAAGAAAGCACTGACTTGGCATTGGATCATTCTCATGTGTGTGATGGCTTTGCACATTGGTGGCTGGATCATGCTCAGGTTGACAAGCATTGAGAAGAGGATCTCCCCTTTCTCCTCTGCAGTAGTGTCTTTAGTGTCCCTAGAGTAGCCCTCAGCAACCCATCGCATCACCAAACGCCTCCGCCGAATGATTTGGGACCCAGGGAATATTGACATATAGAATATACATGGCCTTAGGAAATCTGGGCATGTACGGAAGTAGGAATGCATCCAACCAAACAGATCTCTCAGACCACGAAACTCAGGGTTGCTCTCAAGCTCGTGCATAAATCTGCGATTAAGCGTTCTAGTGCTCTCCATACATGTGACTGTCTTGGGTGCCAAAAACTTGGCTACAGCAACTATTACTTTAGGAAGTCTACCACACTTCACAATAAGTTGTTCTAGCTCTTTGTCATCTGAATTCTTTAGAGGTGATGCCTGGTTTTTATTTTGTACCTATTGTAAAGAAATTTGGATGCTCTTAGTCATTTTGGTAAACACAAAATACATTAGGTATTTATTTTTGTCATATAAAATGAATTTTCATGATGAATTGCGCTTGATACTTTAGAAAGGCCAATGGAACACGAAACAAAAATAAAATGGTCAAGTGAGGAAACATAGAATTATCTAAATACTATAAGAATCCTAAAAAAACATTGGGTAGATTATTAGTAAAATAATTTGGCCACACATACATGTGTACCATTGGGTAGATTATTAGTAAAATAATTTGGCCACACAGGACGAGGACACGCCTATTTGTTTCTCAAAATTATTTGAATAAGTGCACTGGATTATAAATGCTTGATTAATTGAGAAGCACATGTCAATATCCCATGCAGGAGCATGGTTAAGAGTATACATAATCCTTTACATCATGATGTCCTTCCTAAAAACCATACATGAGTTCCATGTTAAGGAAAACAAAGCTTTGTAAAGTAACAACTTGTGAAATGGAGAACTAATCTTAACACTTTGGAGAACAGATACATGGTTCACCTCCTAAATTTCTGTTTGAGCTCTGCATTGTGTTGTGAAATCAATAAACATAACAGTTTGTGTTCCACCATCAACTAGTAGTATGGTGTACAGTAAAAGGTGCTCTACAGATTAGTAGTTCCAAATAACAATCTATTTGTTAGACATTATTATTGGAAAGAAATTGATGCAGAAAATTGAAACACAAGTGGCAGATTTCAGACAAACTTATGAGCTTTATGGTGCAAAAGCATATCATCCCTTGGCAGACAATAAACCTAAGAAAAAGATAGAGCACCCTGTTTTGATTTACTCTAATACATGTTATACTTCTGGGCAAACTAATTGCAGTTTCATACTTCCACTAGATAGATTGCTTAGAACTGTTGGGTGAAACATGTTTGGAATTGTTGGCAATATGATAGAAAAAACCATCTGCATTCCTCATCATTGCGTGGACTAAGTTTAATTTTTTACTATTTTTGCAAACAACATTCAAACTCCGGTAAAATGGCAAACCATCTATCTAGGATGCAGCCGTGAATAAAAGATTATTGAGTATCGACCAACATGATATGGATGAGATGGTAATCACTCCTTATTTTTTAATGTCTGTAACTGTGGGCGAAGGAGAAACAACTGGTAGTTGCGAATGAGATGCTATGTTTGTGGTAAGACTCATGCAGGACAATAGATACAAGTATCTAGAAAACATGAATGTTTCTTATGATTAAGAATACCTCTTTTCTGAAGAGATCAAAGGATGCTTGAGCTTCTAGGCCCTTCACGTTAAACACAACCTCTTCATTGTCTGCACAATATGTGGCAATGCTTTCTTCAGTTGTGATAACAATGATAACACTCTTGGAATGTCTAGATACCAGGGAAGGTTGTATTAAATCCCATTCTTCTGTAGACTGTACATCATCAATAACAACAAGACACGGATGTTCTTTTAGAAGCTTATGGCATTCCTGAATAGGGTCTTCGATTCCCAAGTCTTCAATAGGTTTTGAATGAAAATCCAAAAGTAAGCTCCGAGAGAAGTCCCTCAGATTGAATGGATGGGACACCAGAACCCAACCATACTTGTCAAATATTGGGTCCTTTTGAAGCATTCTTTCATAATACAAATTTCTGACTAGAACTGATTTCCCAACACCTGCTATCCCCCACACAGACATCACTTGCCAATCATTGAAACGTGCTGTGGTCTGAAAGTTACGAAGTTCGTTCATTTGTGATTCACGTCCAACAAGGCTAAACTGGTCAAACCAGCTACTGGCTACAGCCTTTCTTGAGGTTGGAATTCTGTGATAGGAAGTAAGACCTGCCCCGTGATTCACTTCATCCTCCATTAATTTCTCATTGTTGCTTGACATTACTCTTCCAGTCTCCTTGCCCTGAGGACCCTGAAAATACAAAGCAGTTAAGGAGGGAAGGGAGAAATCCAAGAGTTACTAGGAGAGAGAGTTCTCATATTTTCTCGAGATTAGATCTATCTTTGATAGATTGAAGTGTTTCTAGATTTTATGCAAAATGCAATAGACTGTGAAATATATTAAGTACAAAGAATCTATAAACTAGTCACTTGTCAAGTAGATAGCAATCGTTTAATTTTCTTTACAGGCAACCATTTTAAAGTTTTTAACTTGTGACATACATTGAGTAAATATGTGACACCTATCGAAAATTTACTTTATATATGAATTTATTTTGACATTAGAAAACATAATGACCAATACCGTGCATCAGAGAGACAGAGACTAATGTCCAAAAAAAGCTACACATAACAGAAATATGTTTTCTTCATAAAAGTGAATTCACTCTGTTCCTGTCTCACCTCCTTGAAGAACACACATACAGGGTGCTCGGCTGAGTACTGTTTAAGCTCCAACACTTGGTACGAGTGTCCAATACACAAGCTTGCGATTTCTCGTTTCTCTGTTGACACGATAATCCAGTTGCCCTTCTGCCTATCGGGTAGGCATGCCCTGATGGCATCCCACTCTCCCATTGTGCACACATTTTCCAGGACGATTAGGTACCTCTTCTCATTCGCTTGCTTCATGACTTCTTCAAGGAGCCCTCCTTGCTTTGCTCCTGTTCTCTCCATCCTTTTCAGTTCAGCTACATCTACAGTGGTTCCTTGTTGTAAGCAAGAATTTGTGTAGAACTGAGTCACTAAGCTCTGCTGGAATTTGTGGGGATTGAAAGGATATGTCAACCTGATCCAGCCACGGCATCCAAAGTTTTGGCAGATTTCTGGATCTTGGTAGGCTTTCCTTATGATGGATGTCCTACCAAGATCACCACCTATCCCCCACACCGAGATCACTCCAAGATCACTATTTTCTTTGGTGATCAACTGTGTGAGATCCCCTATGCCTTGCTGCTTTTTTTTTTGGTGTCCCTTGCCTCAGCAAACATGTCACGTGCTGTTGCGCCATTAGCAGGGCTGGTTGTGGGTTGTTGCTGCATGACTGGTTTGGATCCAGAGTCACTGATGAGGCTGTAGCGCGAGTTCCTCTTGCTAACATCCTCGACCCTGGCCTTGATCTGCTCTATCTCGGTGACTACTGCATCTATGGGTAGCGCCGATGCTGCCATACATGATGGTATGAAGCGGCGCCACCAGTGGGGCCGGTTATCCAAGTGAACAACAAACTCAATGCAATCCTCCACATCGTAGGCTAGGTCACGGACCTGCCTCACCCATGTCCTCACCACGTTGTTCTTGGCACGCTCTTCATTGGCGACGTTGAGAAAGGAGTGCATCATCTCAAATTCACCTGTGATGAACACAAGGTCCCTCTGTGCACTCTGCCGCAGCTTTGACTCTTCCTCAATAGCCGACTGGGCCTTGGTTAGTACCCCCTCCACCACCGACTTCGCCAATCCAACCACAAGATCCCCCATTGCACGCTCCCTCCCTCTCCCTCTTCCTCTCTCCCTCCCTCTCTCCTTGTGCTTCTGTGTCGTAGCAGCTAGCAAGTGATGCTGCTAATGTAGTAGAATTGCATATTTTGAGTACCCAGAGATGGGACTAATGAAGGCAAGACCAGATCCAGCTGTGAAACAGATAGACATTATTGTTAATCAAGGCTGGCAGGAACTGTGGAATGAGTCAGGTCAATAAAAAAGTAATCTAGCTGTAGGCTCAACAACTTTGTCTCGCCAAGTGAGCCTCTTGGTCAAGGGATCTGCACCTAACCCAATGTCTTATAATAAAGAAGCCCTATTCAAAAAAGAATAATTTTTAAAGTTGGAATGTGGGGCAACTGATTGCACATGTTGTCACATGGGGCCAAAATGACATCTTAAGAACAATACCGTTGGTATATGCCTAAAAAAGGGCGTACCCAGTGCAAAGAGCTCCCGCTCTGTGCGGGGTCTGGGGAAGGGTGTTAGTGGCAAGCCTTACCCTCACATATGCAATGCGAGGAGACCGCGACTCGAACCCAGGACCTTCCGGTCACAGGCGGTAAGACTCTACCGCTTGCACCAGGCCCGCCCTTCACCGTTGGTATATGCCTCCGGAAGAAAAAAACAACACAACAATTTTTTCCTACAAAAGAAACCTAACCCAGAATAGTTGATTAGACACACTTTTTATTAAGCAAAATGAAAAGCGCATCATAGTAAGTCAGAAATGCTTTTTACTATGAATTGGTTGCAATCAGCTAGCTGCGAAGGAGGAAGAGAACACCCTGCTAGCACCATTGATGATGACTTCATTTTGCATATCTTTTGCTAAACTAACTTTTCTTCTGAGTTCTGAGGTACTGTACTCACCTAACTGATTAATAAGTACAACGTATGGTTACCGAAACAGGTTTGTACGTTGTTTTGCGCAGGTTATATTTCGAAAAATTGCCAACTGAATGTCATATGGAGCAGTAGCATCAGGTCAATCACCTATACTGAGCCATTCTTTTCTATTCTCTAATCCACTCCATCTTTTCTATTCTTCAAATCCACCATTCTCGCTCTCCACTAATGTGGAGGCCACATCACTCTCTAAATTCAATATAAGGCAGTCCTCAACATGCGTGCAAAATGCTAAGCCATTTATTTCATGGTATATGCAACGAAGTTAAAATTTTCAAAAATCTAAAGTAGAAGTATATGTACAAAACACAATTTTGTATGCATAGCACAGAAGATAATGTACAGAGTATCGAATATCTTCTACCTAGTCCAACTAGGATTTGGCATCTAAACTGACTGAAGTCTCCATTAAAAACATGCATGTATATAAAAATGCATATACCAATTCAAAATTTAGAACTAAATTTTAATATTTTGTTACATTTTGGACTCCACACAATTATCAGAGCATGGATTAGCATGGAAGATATTCTTTCACAAGCTATCTATCATATCAAAAGATATATTTCTTGTACCTGGATGTAAATAATATGTTTCCATCCACTGAGTTAATAGTAATCTTACTATTACATAATGGAGGACCCAAAAGAGGCTCCACATTAATTCTTTTTTAGAAGCACCAAGGCTCAACATTAATTCACATGAGGCAAGTTATCAAAAAAAAAAAAAGCTAATAGTTGGAGCGGAAGCAGGGATTCCAAACATAATGGAGCACCGTACCTTAAAATGTCCATTGCCACATACATTAGCTATGTCACTAACAAAGTAAAACAAAACATGTAATTAGTTGATTTCTGTGTACCTTGCTAGCTTACTGTATGTCCGAGCCCAACCCATGTCAAACACATAGCAAGTTGTACATACAAGAAAGAAAAAAAAAAGAAAACTTATGCCTCGTTTGGCAGAGCTTCACTTCATTAGTGAAGCCATTTTTTTTTTGGCTTCAGCTCCATGAACAGTTCCACCGGTGGAGCTAAAGCGGTTTTGGTAAACTGTTTGGCAAAATGGCTTCCTTATGAGAGCATGTTTTTAGGGGCCTGAAGGAGGAGCCGGGAGAAGCCACTTTTCCATCCCACCCCAAATCATTGTGAAAGCATGTTTTTAGAGGCTTCACCAGTGAAGCTATTTCACTTTACCCCATTTGACAGAAAACAGCTTCAAACGACTCCTGAAGCTGGTGGAGAAGCCCTGCCAAACGGGACCTTACTAAGCTTCGCAATCTGATGTATTTAACCCGAAGGCAAAAACTTATATTGGCAGAAAGTTTGTACCAAAACAAATCAAGCAACTCACACCAATTTGGAGATAAGATGAACGGGGTGTGCTCACCTTGGATGAAGCTGCGGTCAGCTGAGAGCGGGGCCGTCGCACCTGCTGGTCTCCTGTAGGCCGAGCCGCCGGAGCCCGTAGTGGTAAAGCTCCAGAGATTGGTGGGTGGGGGAGGGAGGGACTGGAGTGGGAGAGCGCGGATCTGCTGCTGGTGCCTGGTTGATGTTTGGGACAGTAAGAGGATTCCAGATAAAGTAGGCAATGACAAGCTCCGGGCCAAAGCATCCATCGTGTACGTCTGTATGAGAGGCGCCATGAGACGTTGACTTGACTCGACCCCAAAGCTGCAGTCGTCGTCAATGGCCTTACGCGGTGCCATCTACTATGAGGCTATGACAGAGAACCACTCTTGTAATGTTGCAGAAATTGCCGAGTAATTCCAAGACCAAAACCCATGTGTCGGATACCATAAAAAGTACCTAAGTAAGAACCGAAAACGATTACTTAAAACCTCGTAAATATCAAAGCTAAAGGACAATCACAGGGTCTCGATCGATTCTCTGACTTGCCTGGAGCCCGCGTCGCAACGACTCTCCGCCTCGCTGAGGCCCCCTCGCCGAGGCCCTCTCGTGACGAGGCCCCGCTCCATAAGGCCTCGAATGGGTTACCGATTCTCCGATTCACCCGAGGCCCCGCGAGTGAAGCCTCGGACGAAGTACCGATTCTCCGACTTGCTCGAGATCGGCTCGGCAACAGCCTCGTCGCCTCCGCCTCGACCGACTTCTCTGACAAAACGTCACGCGTCCAACCACTCCCGCGACGTCAGCCGCACGTGGGCGCAGTACAGCAGGGTGGCTGACGGGACGTGAGACAGGACGAAACAAGGGTTACTGGCCACTGTGCTCAGCACTGCACCCATGCCTGACGCCCGTACTGCACTGTGCTACCTAATTCCTGCTCAGGAGCAGCACGGCATGGGGAAGCAGGCACGGGTCACTGTAGCCTTGGAATCGGTGCATGAGACCAACTGCTCCCTCCAAGGCCTCGGCAATCCACTTCCAGGTCTCGACAGCCTCGGGATTCGCGCCCACCGAGCCCCCCACGATGGCTCGGCCTCGGCACCAACTGAGCCTTGGCTCTTTTCACCGTCAACCCATAGCGACCAGCACACCGTCGGCCATACCCTGCGTCAAGCTGTCACTGGAGCGCCCACGTCATACGAAATCGGGTGTGACCGGCGCATTACTCCAGTACATCAAGGACAAGACCACTCCATTGACCATGCCGCTACAGTAGTAAGCTACAGGACTCCAGCACGCCACCTCCGCTCGCCGCATGGCGAACACATGTATCACCCCTGTCCCTCCTTCAACTATAAAAGGGGAGACAGGGGCCATTCTTAAGGGGGGGAGGGACTCACGAACTCACGGAGATAGACTCACGTAGACACACGCTCTCCCAAGCTGCCTGAGAGCAACGTCTCAAGCAGCCCGCACCGTTCCACACCGAGACCTGGGACTAGCTCCCTCTCTCACCCAGCTTGTAACCCCCTACTACAAGTACTTCGGTGCAAGGAATACAAGATCGATCTCTCAGACTGGACGTAGGGCACTAATTGCCTGAACCAGTATAAACCTTGTGTCTCTTTGCATCACCATCCGGGATTAGGGGCACGCAGTTCACATTTACTAGTTGGTTGAGGAACCCCTGGTCCGAAACACCGACAATTGGCGCGCCAGGTAGGGGCCTCTGCGTGTTAGCTTGATCGTCCTAACAGGTTTCGGATGGCTGACCCCATACGCCCACTACGTCTCGGCACGGTAGTCTGGTTTGGGAGCCTAGAGTTCATGTCTCTAGGATGTGGGTACGATATGGTACTCCTCGCACCCAGAGCCCCACCAGCCGACGACGACGTCACGCATCGGTAGCCCGGGCGCAGGCGGCGCCCGGGCCGCCGCTCTCGTCGCGCTCGCCATGCACGACGCGAGCAGGACTACCCCGACACCGCACGAGCTCAGGGCGGCGCGCCGCACTTCGCTGGCATCCCATGTCCGAATGTTGGTACAGAGTCCCTGGCTGGGGACCTGTCTAGCTTAAGCCTAGGCAGGGGAAAGACGGTAGCGCACAGCGATGTCCCGTCGTCAAGCTCTGCCCCGCCACATCCTGAGGAATCGACTCAGGCGAAGCGGACCCCAGCGGTGGCACCATCCCTGTATCCCTTCGGGCTGAACAACATCGCCGCCACCTACGCTTTCGCCTATGCCTCCGTGCACGTGGAGCCCTCAGGACGCCACCAACGATTCGCCCTCGACTTCTCCACCACAACTTCGACCCACACCCACACTGACTCCTCGGAGGAGGACGAGGCGTGGGCCAGAGCAGACTTCTCCGGGCTTTGTGACCCTGAGGCTATGCGCCGCTTCTTGGTCGCAAGCGACTACTGCTTTGGCTACTCCAACTCCGATGATGAAAGCACTTACGATCCCACTCGAGAGTGTTTCCACATCGGGCTCGAAATGCCAGGGGCAAGTAATGAGAGTGAAGGGGTAGGCAACCGCTCCCCGCTCCACCAAGGGGCGGGCGACGCCACACCCTTGCTCGTCGAGCTTCGGGCGGCACGGAACGTGAACGCCGCCCCCGAGGAACTCCGACACCTGGACCTGGAGCAGCTCCGTGAGCTCCAGGCAAAAGTCGACCAAGACCGACTCCTGCTGCAGCAGCTCCGAGACACTCTCGAGCAGGAGTAGCGAGGTCGCGGT